TTCGGAATTCCAACGGGGGTCAAATTCTTCACCAGTCAACCATTTATACCTTTCAAAAAGAGAGAAAAAGGGCGAAACAGAATCCGCACAGCAGCCAACAATGGAATCTGTCGACCTCAACGAAACCCACGAAACCAACACCCACACCGTCGACCATGGCTGGCAGAAGGTCACCTACGCCAAGCGGCAGCGCAAGGCCAAGCCGAACGCGGATGATGGAGACGCAGCTCGCCCTAACGGAACCCTAGCTAACGGCGGTAGAAATGTTTTCTCTTCAATTGAGAAGCAATCGGAGGATCGCCGCCAGCGGATCCTTGAAGCACAGAGGCTCGCCGCTGTGAATGTGGAGGTTAGTGTGAAACCTAAGCGCAGATCGGATGGCGATGATGAGGAGGATGAGGATAGCGATCTCGAAGATTCGAAGGAGAATGGAAAGGCAGAAGAAGTTAAGAAGCCGAAGCAGAAGAAGCCGAAAAAGCCTAAGGTCAGTGTCGCGGAGGCCGCCGCCAAGGTTGATTCTGCTGATCTCGCCGCATTTCTGGCAGATATATCTGTAAGTCGATGAGAAATCATCCGTCTTTTCTGTAGATTTGTTGTTTATCGTGATCTGCAGTTGGAATTGGATATGAAATGGTAAATTTGTTTGCAATTGATCGATGGGATTTTCACTTGTTCAATTGCGATTACATTAGGACTAAAAATTGTTTCTTTGGGGCAGGGATCATTTGAGGATCAGCAGGATATACAGATGATGAGGTTTGCGGATTATTTTGGAAGAGCCTTTTCTGGGGTAAGCGCGTCCCAGTTTCCCTGGGTGAAGATGTTCAGGGAGAGTACAGTAGCCAAGCTTGCTGATGTGAGTTAATCTTGATTTCGTTTTGTTTTGTTTTGTGTTGTTCTCTGTTATTTTGTTATAATGATTATTATTTCTGTTTTTTTTTTTCTTTTTAGCTATATGCATTTTTGATCTGATAAATTAAGGGGAGTAGGTTGATGGTTGTTTTTAAAGAATTTCATTCTGCTTTATTAGCTCAATCAATCAAAACAGTCTCTTCCTGATTGATGGTAATCGTTGGATAAAAAAATTCTATGGTGTAGAGTACAGCCTCTTCCTGTTGCCATCTTCCTATCTAGCACGGCTGAAACCTGAATTTTTTGAGGCATGAGGATAACTCTGGGACTAGGTATTTCTATTTGAAAGGGGTTTTTGCTTTTTCATTTTTGAACAGGTTTATTTGTTGGTTCCTTCTTTCATAGCCTGGTGTAAAACTTTCATATCCTCACTTTCATCATCATGTTTAATTGGCATCACTTTTGTTAGTTTTTTATTGAATGCTTAAAACAGAGTAACAAGGTTTTGGAGATGATGTTTGTTTATGCATGGAATTTGGTCACAGTAGAAGAGGCTGTTCAATGCCCAATCACATGTCTTAATACCTCGTTAGGAATGCTCAGTATACTTGTGCTATTGAGGCTTTGTTGCACAGCATTACTGTTAACCCTAAATAGTGTTTGTATGAATCAGGGTTGGATCAAATACCAACATAATGCCTGTTTATATAGAATTGGTCTTTGGTTTACATACCTATAGTGAAAAAGTTAAAGCAGCTATCTCAAAGTCCAATCTGAGAAGGTTGAGAGTTAGCAGAAAGTTATAATTTTTTGCAAGAACTCTAAATTCACAATATGAAGCAAACAAATCTAACTGGTGTTAAATTAGCCTGGAGAAACGCTTATAATCTGCTGTAGCATTGATATCTGTATTCATTCTTCTTGTTACATAAAAATATTCTTGTGAAATATTTTGTTTGAAATTTTTGGCCAATTGTAAGTTTTAGATCTCAAATGGATTCCAATATTGACTGACTTAACAGTGTTCTATTTATGATCCTGTATCCTAATCAGGCCTGCACTTGAAATAACTGATTTGTGGGTTTTATCCTTGCTTCTTTTTGTTAGATGCTGCTCAAATTGTGAATAATTTTGCTCAGCATTTGCTCTTCATTGATTTTACCTATTTTAGAACTCTCCCTGACGTAATTTATTGACTTCAATTTCCTAAAACAGATTCCTCTTTCCCAAATTTCTGATGCTGTTTATAAGACGTCAGTTGATTGGATTAATCAACGTGCTCTTGAGGTGCTTGGCTCCTTTATTTTATGGTCATTAGGTTGCATCCTTGATGACTTAGCAGCCCAGAATGCTGGTGCCAAGGGAGCCAAGAAGGCTGTGCAACAAGCATCATCAAAGTCTCAGGTAACTTAAAAAAGCCAGTTTGCCTTTAACTCGTTGATCATTCTGTTACTGTAATTAATTAGTAATTCTGTTGGTATATGTTATGTATTTGTGATGTATTTGTGCAATCAGTTAGGTTTTGGTTCTTATTTGGTAAAACAATCTGAGCTAAGAAGTTCTACTTTGGTTTTATGGTACTGTTGTTAATGCTTCTGAACATGATTGATGGTAGATGACTGATCTTAGGAACCATGTATTTTGAGGGATCACCCTCTCCTCTCAGCCCATGTGTCTATTCTTTTGTTATTTCTTGAGTTGAGGTTTTAATATATTTCATGCTTAGTAGCTGCCTCATTGTCTCCAATCAGCAAACAAAGAATTAGTAAGAGAAAAGGTAAAATAAGGGGACAGAGTAATAAGGTTTAAGGTCTTGCCTTTTGGGAGAGTGAGACAGAAAATGAACCTTGTGTCATATTTTGGGTATCATGAATACTATGAAAAGTGAGAAAACCAACTGGTTAGTTTCAGATTATATGTTAAATGTTTCTGTTTTTATTATTTTATTATTATTAGCTATTGAACTTTTCTGCTTTGAAAATTGTCTTTTCTAAAATCTCCAGCATCCATTTCTTTTACTCAAAGGTTATTTCAAATGATTGTACTTACGAAGATAAGTGTTTCCATGTTTTTTCTTCATTTATCCAATAATCCTGCTCTTGGTTCTTGCATGGGTTTGTGACATCTAACATCTACCTCAGATTCTATTAATTTGGTGTTGAGATTTTATTAAAATGGCAGGTTGGAATATTTGTGGCTTTAGCTATGGTATTGCGACGTAAACCTGATGCCTTAATCAGTGTATTGCCAACATTAAGAGAAAATTCAAAGTATCAAGGACAGGATAAGATTCCTGTTATTGTGTGGATGATGACTCAGGTGAGTAGATGAAAGCAGCAAAAGGTTTATTCTTAGCTTAGTTTGGAAAATGGCTTGATCATCTGTTTCTTTTGCTTGTCAATGAAACTTTCTTGTGTAGGCTTCTCAAGGAGATTTGGCTGTAGGGCTGTACTCCTGGTCTCATAACCTCTTGCCAGTAGTCAGCAGCAAAAACTGTAATCCTCAATCAAGAGATCTAATTTTACAGTTAGTGGAAAGGTATGGATGTTTCTATGGCCTATCCCTTTACTCTCTCTAAGTTTCTCCACAGCACTCCTTTTTTTCATTACAAGTTTTCCATGTTCATTAATAGTTTATAAATGACTCATTTGGCACAGGATCCTAGCTGTGCCAAAAGCTCCAACAATTTTGATAAATGGTGCTGTTAGAAAGGGAGAGCGATTGATTCCACCTTCTGCATTTGAGGTGCTACTCCGAGTTACCTTCCCTGCACCTTCAGCTAGAGTAAAGGTAGGATTTTGAGTTTGATTTAATTGGGCATTTACACTATTTCTGGTTAGATGTACATTGTTATGCTGTTCACTTTCTTTCTGGTGTCAAATGCAGGCTACTGAAAGGTTTGAGGCCATATATCCAGTGCTAAAGGGGGTTGCTCTTGCCGGTTCTCATGGAAGCAAGGCAATGAGACAAGTGTCACAGCAGATACTAAATTTTGCTATCAAAGCCTCAGGGGAAAGTATGTATCTCCTAATTACTCTCTTGTCTTCTCTGTAGCACACTGCACACCTTAGCCCCACCCCTTTTCAGTTCCTTCTTGCGTAGGCTTTAAAAGTAAGATTGGGATATTCTTGTTTAAGCAGGCTCTCCTGAGTTATCCAAGGAAGCTGCTGGAATTGTCATTTGGTGTTTGTCAGAGAATGGTGATTGCTATAGGCAGTGGGTGAGTTTTGTTTTATTTTATAAAGAACTTTCACAATTGTATAATGAAACTTAGTTGATTTCACTTTATCATTGAGTTTACAATTTACTTGTCAATCCTCTTTTACTTGGTGACAACAGGAAGATGTTTATCTGGACAATCTAGAAGCTAGTGTTGCTGTTTTGAAAAGGCTTTCTGAGGACTGGAAGGAGTACTCTGTGAAATTGGTTCCTGTAGACCACCTGAGGGAAACCATCAAGGATTTTAAGCTGAAGGTAATCCCTATTGTAATTTATTGGAGCAGCATTTGCACTATTTTCATGATATACAATTTATTCATCAAGGCAATTGATATAAGACCACACAGCAAAATCATTTAGAAACAAATAATTTATTAGTCACATCACAGTTTTTGATTTCTCACTATCTTTTCTGCCATTTTGCAGAATGAGAAAGCAATGGCTGGTGGAGCAGATGCTGCTAAGGAAGCACTGTTCCGAAATGCAGACAAGTATTGTAAGGTGATCTTTGGAAGGCTATCACATCGACATGGATGTGTTAAATTCGTGGCCATTGTTGCTGTGGCAGTAGCCGTTGGTGCTGCCGTGATGTCCCCAAGCATTGAGGGCTGGGACTGGAACAAACTCACTCTAGCCTTCAGCTCTCCAAAATCTCTCTGAGCATCCCGCTTGTGTCAGTTTGGTAACAAAATGGTGCGAGTTAAAACACCACCTGAGTTTGTAGTTTCTTCTCCTTTTTGATTTCTTGATCTTGAGCTTCTAACGGGAAAGTGAAAGGGAAATCTTTTTTTCTTCTTTTTTTTTTTTCTTCTTCTTTTTTAAGTTATCTTAGAAAATGATCTGGTGACTTGCATTATGAAAATACAGGTTTAATTTGTTTGAGGTAGCATAGCCAAAATAAGGAATGAGGAAATCAAGTGAGGGATAGACTGTATTAAGAGATAACTTAAGTTTTGTAGATTATTATCAAATGTGTTACCTTTTATTTTGATTTGCTATTATTTTTCAATCTAGACCCGCAAGCAAACAAAGAAAAAAAAAAAAAAGGAAAAAAGCTAGTTCGGACTGAAAATAACTACAGTGCTCTCTTGTCATCCTTTGAAACTCAATATCAAGGATGTTGTAGTCAAATGGGAAAAGGCTTTACATTTTGGCAGCAATATTGTGCACATGAAGTTTTCTCAAAAACATAGACATGAAATGGAGGAAAGCTTTACAAATTTTACACGGGAATATGCACTACAATAGACCTGCTCTCTCTCTCAATCATAATCTTCAGGTGAAGCCCAGGGATACTTCAAATATGCATTCTTAATTTTTGAAGGATCTTTAGGCGTATCCCAAGGATACTCCATGGATGGGTCTCTTGGGAATTTCCTGAAGTTGAGAAATGGTGCCCAGAGCAGTAACCTGCGCAAAGCAAGGAGCCAAAGGGAAAACATTCCAATCAATGTTATTTGTCCTATCATATTTTCAAGAAATAAAATTCATCTCTCAGACTCACCCTGGAAAGAATATGAAGACACACATGAACTGCAAATACATTTCCAGGAGTTTTCTCCTGTACCACCTTATCCTAAGCCAGTTCATAATGATTGGCTGCAATTTCACACACAATTCAAGAAACAGGATTTCAGGAATCCGGGTACTTCATCTTAATTCCAAATAATTGGGAACAAGAATTCTTACAGGCATGATGAGGAAGTACCAAACAGCAACAATCCCCAACTCTATTACAGCTGTTACAAAATCTTGCTCATTATTGACCCCTGTCACTGCTAATGCTGGCTTCTCGAACTGATAGAATCAATCAAACAACAAACCCAGTTAAATTTAACTAACCCGCAAAATAAATTAATAAGCATTAGAAACTACTGAAGAAGATTGTCTTACAGCGGCCAAAAGTGCACCAACTTGAATTGCCAGGCTTGTCTTCTTAACATCAAAGAAACCATTTACCCTTCTGCTGGTGCTTCCAATCTTTTTTTATGTGAAAATTTTGAGGTTAGAATTTGAAAGAAACAATTGATGAAAATGAAGCTGAGGGGCTTACCTTGCTTTCAAACTTGGTATTGGGGTTTGTTTTCTGATTGTATGTAATGAAGAGAGGAAGTTTTATGCAGCAAGGAGGAGGAGGAGGAGGAGGAGGAGAAAGGGAAGGCAGGGCCTTTGGAATTTGGGGGCTGAAAGAGCAGCTCATTTTAGAGCTCTGTTTTTGAGTCCCTTATCTTTTTTTGAGTTAATGGTTCCACTTTCATGGCTCAGAACCATTACGCTTGAGGTTGCCAGATGGTAAAAATCGAAAGGTAAGACCATATTTAAGTCCTTAAACTTTGTCCCAAATTGCTGGTAAGCCCTTTAGCTTGAAAATTTCTTCAACCATCCTAGATTCCTTATTCTTCCACGACAGAAATCAATCTTGGAAAAGTTTACATTGGTGATAATGTAGTTTTTCTTTTTCCAACACAATCATGAAATTTGAACACATTAATAGAATTGAAAAGAAAAAATTTAGACATATTAACATTTAATAATATGTTAGAATTGTTTTTAAAATTATTAAAAAACCCCTAATAAATCTTAAGGTTATTTATAATTGGTAGAACATTTTAATTTTTCTTATTTCCTAAATAAAATAATGAATCTTGCTTTCTTGCTTTTGATTTTTTGGGCTCACATAAATCAATGTGTAAATTTTTACTAATTTATGAAATTATTTTAAGTTTTTTATTTTATAATTTAAATTGTACTAATTAATAAAATAAAAATTATTAAATGGGAAAAGGGTTTCCAATATCAAGAAATTAACTTTATTTAATAATTAAAATTATTTATTTTAAAACAATTCAGTCTCTACAATTCTTTTCTAAATTGTTATCGACCCTTTTCATAGTTTTTTTTTTATTTTTAAGGAAAGAATCCCTTTCACAGTTAATACATATGAATTATGGGTAAAAGATTTCCTAGATATGTTGAGGATACTTTCAGTTTTAGTTATACATTTATTTTTGACCGTCAACAGGAGAATCCAACTGAAAAACAGAGCCATGTGTAGCTTATCTTGTATTTCCATGAGCAAAGCTCTCGCTCTCGCCTCCGTCTCCGGCAACTCCTCCTCCTCTCCTCCTCCGCGAACCAAAAACATTCCCAGAACAGAACCCACTACTCTACCAAGAAGAAAGAAACAACCTTTGCGGCGACAGAAACCGCAACAACCCTCCATTGTCCAAATCGAACGTGCGATTGGCGCCGGTAGTTTTCGCGACGCCGACTCCAGGTATGCCTCGTATTCATGATGTTATTCAGAATTCTGGGTTTTGGGATGTGCTCATTTTGTAATAATTAGTTTGATCTTGTTTAGTGATTTGGACCGAAGAAAGACGATCTTTGATGGGCTTTTGCCAATTACTACTGGGAAGTTCGAAGGGGCGGTGGAGAAGCAGCTCCGGGAAACCGGAGAGTGGATTTCTTCCAATACAGAAGCAAAATTCCGTTCATCTGGTACTTGATTTCGTTGTTTCTGCCTAAGTTTTT